GGAGTAAGAACCTGAATGATCAGAGAAGCTGAGAAGCCAGTGGTGACCTTCTATCACTTCTGTTCCTCCATCCAAAAGGGCTGAGATCTTCTCTCAGCCCCACCTTACTGCTTCCTGTCTCCTTTCTGTACACAGTCCTCCAAAACCTCTATGGTTGATTTTGGTTGTAATGGCTATCTCCACCCTCTGACTCAAAGCATTATTGTCAGAATGCAGTCAAAATACCACACAACAGTGTAAGTGGAGTTTTTCTCCCACCTGCCTATTCCCAAATACCTGGTGGCCACTTCCCAAATAGTTGACTTGGAGGCTTAATATTATTTATAAATGCTCGGCTGATAGCTCAGGCTTATTACTAACTAGCTCTAACATTTTTAAGTTAACCCATATTCCTATTTACGTTCTGCCATGTGGCAGTACCTTTATTAGCGTGGCATATTCATCTCTTGTTCCCTCTGCGTCTGGCTGGCAACTCCTGACTCCGCCCTTCTCCTTCTCATCATCTTTAGTTTGGTTGCCCCGCCTGTATTTCCTGCCTGGCTACTGGCCAATCAGCGTTTTTATTAAACCAATTTGAGTGAGAAATCTTTACAGCGTACAAGAGGGATTATTCCACAACCCAACAGTTTTATGGAAATTGTATACATAAATTCCTAAATGAAAGTACATGATATTTTTATGGTAATCCTTTGAAGATTATAGTCATGATGTCTTGGGTGATAGTCTAGTCTTTGAAGGTTTTAAAGATTCTGTCACTCTGATAGCATTCTGGCTTAATTGTACTGTTTATAGAATGTCACAAGCTCCAGTTCCTCCTTTGTTAATGTTCTTCTAAGGAGGAAGATACAGTTTATGCTGTGGGTTTGTGTGTATGTGTACATAAGTATTCTGTGTATCTGTTACTGGAGACTTAATAGTTGGCTCTCCCTCTTCAGAAGCCGTGCTGCCTGCGTATAAGCTAGCGTCCCATCGGGCTTGGATGAATGTTTGCTGTGCGAGGGAGACGTTTCGCCAGTACCCCAGGATTGCCGAATCCACCAACCTCCTTTGCTTTACCCACATCCAACCAAATGCTCACTGCAGGAAGGCCTACTCAGCATCTCTGCTCCCAGCATGCTTGCTGCCTTATATTTGGTTTCAGAGGCACACCCCAGCTCTGATAAAGTTAGGAAAAGACCCTCTGCCCCAGTGAAAACTCTAACTTCAGATTTTTATTACCTTTACTTACTAACTCTGCAGCCATAAGCAAGTCATTGCATACTTTAGGAATTTTTCATGTGTTCATGTCAATCAATGACAAAGACTTACTTTATTGATATATGATTTTTACAACATAAGAATGTGGCTAATGATTCATCTTAAAGACAAAGTGCTTTTATTCGTTTCTTTATTGTAATATAGGGTCTCACTACTATGTCTCTCAGGATGCCTGGCCTAGAATTCAGTATGTAGCCCAGTCTGTTCTCAAACTCAACATCCCCCCTGCCTCAGCCTTTTAAGTGCTTAGATTATAAGTCAATATCACCATGCCTGGTGCTTTTAATATTTAAAAGTTGAATAAGTTTAGTGATAATTTTTCTAAAATCAACTGGAACAGTTTATATTGTTAGTGATTGTATAGTTACTGCTGTTTTATGACCTAAGTAGTTATCTGAATAACCTTCCAAAAACACAAAACAAAATTGAGTTGTGAATATATGTGACAAAAACATAAATCTTTAGCTGTAAAAGAATTATCTTGTATTGTCAACCCTATGAAAAGGCTAGGATATGTTTATATACATTGAAAATAACTTTATAATACATAGAAGCCATTTAGACTTAAAGGGGACACTCCTTAACTTCAGAAGAGCTTTTACACCCTTCCATGGCACCATGGATAATCCAAAGTTTTAGAGTGGTGCTTACTACATTGTGGGTTCTATAGAAGTGAGAACTATTTTGATTTTTCAAGGCAAGGGTTCTCTTTATAACAGCCCCGACTGTCCTGGAACTTGCTTTGTTGCTGGCCTGGAACTCACTGAGATCTGCCTGCCTCTGCCTCCCGAGTGCTGGGATAGAAGGTGTGCATAACCACCCAATTAAGAACATTTTTACCAACCAAAGAAAACCTCGTCTGCATCCTTGCCCCTGACATTACTACCTGTGTTACTTAGGATAACCTCATGAAGCTGTATTGTCTCACTTAGCAAATAGTTGTAACTCTCTTGAATCTTGAAGCTATTATATCAGTACACTGAGCGGGTTTTCCTGATTCTTGTGCATTCCTTGGGAGATTAGATAAATTTTAATCCATTTCTTCTAGCAAATATGTGCAAGTTTATGGTTAATACCTTAACCTCATTCCTGGTTCTTACTGGCATCCTTGGGTTTTTTTTTCTCATTAGCTTGACTTTCCTTGCCTATGTTTAAATTATTTTATTTTTGTTCATTTTAATCTATTGGCAGCTCCCTTAAAGGCTTCCTGGGAGAATAGAAGGACAAAGACACTAAATAAAACAGGCTGTGCCCCCTTGTCACAGCTAGCTCGTGCAGTGAGTGAGAGACATTGGAGCTGGCACTTTTTAAACTGAGTCAGAGAATATTAATTCTATCTGCTTTAAACTGAGGAATGTTTAAATGGCTTTATTTTAAAGGGAAGATAGAGTTTTACAAGAACAGATTGGCCTGTTACCACATGTCCAAGCTTTTTCTATAAAGTTCTATAGATAAATGAGGATGTCTGGAGCAGCTTTTCTTTCCAGCCATTAGCATGGTAAATGCTTACTCTACCATCTTTATAAGGGTGTCAGTTCCTCTTACACACAGCTCACATATTTTATCCATGGGGTCTTGGATGGAGTTTTCTAATAAATGTAGTATGTCTTAGAGGATTTTTATGGGGTGATTGATCTGGTTTCAATCATATATTTAAATGCAGTTACGTGTTTTATATAATTGTACTGATGATTTATATTTAACAAGCCTTAAATCTATCTATAATAGAAAAAACAATTATGTAAGCTGTTTCATGGACTCAGAATTCTAATATATATGGTGATTGTTAGCAGTTTTTAATTAATGCAAATATCCACCTGCCTTATTAGCAGAAAGCATAGCTTCTTCTTTTAGATTTTGTGTTTTTCCTGAATGATCCCAAGAACTTAAAAGCTTATACCATCCAGAGGGTCTCATCAGTGACTTGTCCTATCCATGAAGTGTGCTTGCCTGTGTGGGTGAGAGGAGAGTCTCCTCACCCCATTTCCACCCCACACTCTGCTGATAGAGCTGAAAGATAGTTTTCACTGAAGAGCAGGAGCTGCTTCTGGTGTCCTTTGGACCTGGATCCTGGTGTGGTCCCCATGCTACAATGGGAAGGATGACCCTCTCCCTGGTGTGGCCCCCATGGTACAGCAGGAAGGATGGCCCTCCTCCTAGGCTGAGATGTATCTCACAGTGACTCAACTTGTTCAGGTCATGATTGTAGAGTCCTCTTAACTATTGTTCTAAGAACAGAATTGAGTCAGGCCTGGTTCTAACATGTCACCCCTATTTTATATGCTTATACCCACATTTCCCCTTGTCATCATGGAATCCTATGCTATTATTAATTCATCCTTTAGGCATTACTACATCTCGGTCATATTTATCACTTTTTTTGAAATTTGCCTTTATGAAGAATGTGACTGCCATTGTCTAAAAGAGACTGACCCTTCTAAAGGACATTTCTCCAAGGCGTCTATACTGATACCATTATCTATCTGCCCTTTCCCACTCAAGTGCAAGGAGAAAACTGAATTTCATTTCTTACTGAGCTTCCTGCTGTGCATGCAGCAGTCTCAAAAAGAAGAGCAGGTTTGGAGTGAGTTATAGGAACTTTTATGTTTAAAGTAAGTGAAATATTCATGAGCAGGAGGATAAATGATTAACCTAACAGTTAAGTGGATTGGATGTGCCAGAAAGACAAGACCAACTTTTTAGTTAATTTGAAAAATTAGAAGTTTGAGATGATGAATCACGTTAACGGCTTGAGTTACTTGAACGGTTGAGAAAGTAGCTCCGTAGCAAACTGTTGGCCTGACATACATGTATCTCTAAGCTTAATTCCCAGTAATCTGCCCCCAAAGTTAGACAAATAAAATTGTTGTTTGGTGTGCTTAGGATTTGACTTACATGTACATGTTTTCTGCCACCACCACTCCCAATAAAATGATACAGAGCAGGATATACAGACCCCCAGTTAAGCTTGTGATTTGTCTGAGAGGGCCTATTAGTTTAAATTATTGACATGTAAAAGAAGCTTTTTCTAATTTAAATTTAAAAAGAAAAATTAGCATGTATGGAACTAAACAAAGGAACTGCTGTGGAAATCATAAAATGAAAACCTAATTTCCAGTGTTTTAAAATAATTTTTGTCAAGCAGTGGAGGTACAAAATTTTGCCTTTAATCCCAGCACTCAGGAAGTAAAGGCTGGTGGATCTCTAAGTTCAAGGCCAATGTGGATCTCTGAGTTCAAGGCCAGCCTAGTCTCAGAGTGAGTTCTAGGACAGCTAAGGCCACACAGAAATGCTGCCTCGAAAATCAGCACACACACACTTTTTTTTTTTTTTTTTTTTTTTTTTTTTTTTTTTTTTTTTGTCTGTGACTCCATAGCCAGAGGGGTACCACATTCACACAGGAACTAAATCACCTTAGCTGACGCAGCTTTAAAACAAGAAATGTCAGTTGCACTGGTTACACCTGATGCTCAGGATATATTGCTAACAGTTGTTTTATCTGTGCCTGTCTGCTAAGATATTATATCTCATTTTCTTTGAGATTAAGAATGCCTAATATTTTTTCTTCCTTAGGAGTGTCTTGCTTTTTCTAGTGCCTTCACTTGTTATTTTATGTATCGTATTTGATTATAAACAGCATAGGAAAAACCCTCAGAAGAGGTTTGGGAGAAAGTGTTCCTACATATAAGCATCAAGTTCTGTGTAAGATGGCTGTGCTCACGTGGTTGTTTTGTGTGTTACAGGCCTTTCGGGAAGACCTGGAATGCCTCATTCAAGAACAGATGAAGAAAGGCCACAACCCAACTGGTTTACTAGCCTTACAACAGATTGCAGATTACATCATGGCCAACTCTTTCTCAGGCTTTTCTTCACCTCCCCTGAGTATGTCAATTGTGATTTTGTTTTCTCTGCAGTGGAACACTACTTCTCTGGCTAGTTACTCTGATCAGAGTCAGCCCTAAAGTGTATGACATAGAGCTGGGTCTGGTGGCATAAGCCTACAGTACCAACTGCTCAGCAGCAGAAGCAAAGGGTCATAATATCAAGGCCAGCCTGGGCAAATTAATGAAGACCCTCAAAATAAAAAAGAGATCTGAGGATGAGGTTCAGTGGTCGTTACTATGCACAAGGCCATAGGTTCAAGCCCCAGTACTTTTTAAAAGCAACATCTGACATTTAGAATAGCATATTATAAGACATAGTCCTAACCGAGATAGTTGTATTTGAATTAACCCTGGAGACCACTCTAGTGGTTATTTTTCCTTTATTTTGGCTCACAATTTCAGAGCGGTTTCAATACATCATGGCAGGAAAGGCAAAACAACTCCAACTCTGGCTGTGAGATGGGAGCCTGAAGAAGAGCAGCTGCTCACAACACAGGAAGCAGTGAGAAGAGTGAGCCTGTCCCTGGTAGTCTGCTTCTCACCAGCCAGCCCCTTCCATAGGCCGGACAGCCTTCACAATAGGGCACAGACTGGGGACCAAGTATTCACCACATAATCCTGTAGTGGACATTTCAGATTCAAACCCTAACAGTAACTGTAGAAGAGAAAGTTAAAAAGCTGTTCGTTCACAAGAAGTGATCTGTAACCCTTTACTGTGTCCTCATGCTGTGAGCTGAGAGTTGGAGTTTATTGCCTGAAGGAGACTGAATAAAAACTTGATGAGAGAAGAGGGCAGGCTGGCTGGTAGGATCTGGAAAGATGTTGGTGTAAAGGAGTGGATGTTGTATTCACTGCATAGCTCCTTAGAGAGCAGCATTTGTGAGGCTGAACTCCCTAGAGGACTAAGACCCCTTGGCCAGAAGCTCTGCTCTGATTGTGGTCAGAGTCTCTGCAGTGAAGGGCACATGTGGGGGCCACAGAGAGCTAGCAGACATTGTTTCATGGGAGACTCAAGAGAAAGGAGCTTTATTTGCTCCTCCTTTTATCTGTCCCCTCTTTCTCTTCCTTTTGTCAGTAGAGGTTTCTAAGTAAGATTTTATTGAATTCAGGTCTTTTCCAAACCCCTGAGATATGATGGTAGGAGAGTGCAAGGTGGGAGGGAGTGTTTGTCGTGCTCCATTGCCTGGGCCTGAGGGTCCTGGGCTGGCTAGCAGTCTAGGGGAAGGAAATGAATCAGACTGAAAAGACTCTTCACGGCTGGACCAGGACAGCTGCCAGCATGGACAGTAAAAACCCTTGTGAAGGAAATTAGCTGATGATCTGAATGAGGGCCAGGAAAGGAAAGAAGCTCAAGTCAGATCATTTAAAGACCGCAAGCAAGTGTATGAGAGATGTAAGTACCTGGATTAGTTCTGTGGAGCTGGTATATAAAGGAGGAAAACAAGGAGAACCAAAGGGAGCTTCGTAGCGGTCCTGGTGTGCTGGGGAGGGGCGAATGTCAAAGAGTCACCTAGTGGCTGGGTTCTAGCTTCTGAGAAACAGTCTACCAGCAGAAACAAAAATTCAAAGCTTGAGCTATTTTTAGCACTCTGTAACAGTGGGCATTTGGACCAAGTTCTGTTTCAGGGACAAGGACTGCACTAAGATTCTTTTTCTCTTGGAGCTTGAAACTACACTAAATAAAGAAGCTGAGAAGACGAGGAATGCCATGCTGAAAATCACAGTGTGGTTATGTGCTGCATGTCTGGGCAGCACAGAGATATAAGGTCATCAAAGACGGCCTCTGAAGAGAGCACATCTCAACTGAGGCTTGAGAGTAAGGCGTATGGTGTGTCTTAAGATGGAAAGAAAACATCCATGTCCCAGAACCTGGTAAAGGTGCCAAGTGGGGAAGAAACTGGGGAAGGAGTAGAAGTAAAAAATAGTACTCTGCTTGCTCTCTAAGGGGACAAATAGAACAAAATTAGATGATAGCACAGGCAGTGTTATTGAAATGTGATGGTAATATGGCTGGATGTCAGTTGCCGCCAACGGGTTTGGAAGTTTGAATCTTGTTCCTGTTGTGGGGAGACATTTTTAAACTGGAGGGTAATTTCTAAAGCCCCACGAGATTTTCTGTGCAAGATGGCCATGGAGATTTCATAGGATTAATAAGAAAAGTGGGAAGGGCATAGTGTAGGATCCAGTCTGGCATGTTTGCTTTAGATTGCTGACATGCGCCAATTGAGTGTTGGCATTAAATGCACGTGCAGCCACATCCAGCTAAAACAATTGAATCTTTAATAAAATTTTATCGTCACCTTTACTTTGTTCTTTGCTCTCTCCACTTCCCAAGTAAATGTGCATTTTTCACACCACCACAAGAAACCTTCCAGACTGGTCCATTTCCCCTTCCTGACTTATAAACACCACTGGGGTATGGCTTTCCTGCAGCCATGCTTTGACATCTGCAACCCCAAATGCCTGCTTCTCTGTATCCCTCTGCCAAGATGTTTAAGTATGTTAGCTGGGTGTGGTGAGACACGCCTTTAATCCCAGCACTCAGGAGGCAGAGGCAGGCGGATCTCTGTGAGTTTGAAGTCAGCCTGGTCCACATCTGGAGTTCCAGGACAGCCAAGGCTATATAGTAAGACCCTGTCTAAGAAAAAGAAGATAAACAATAAAAAGGAGTAAAGATTGCTAAGAATTGAGCTTGTAGAAATTGTAATGTTGTCAACATTACAGACATAAAGAGAAGGAAGGAAGAAAAGTAAGAGAAAGTAAAATCACTTTTGGACTTTAGGTTTTGTATGTTACTCTATCACAGGAGGAGGTACGTGGTTAGAGATGAAGATGACCTCACAAAATAATATATTGTGCAGAGTATAAGATGTTTTCATGGAGAAAAGTAAAGTAAGGCAGGAGCATAACAGAAGCCTGAGCTCCAGGAACGAACCAGGTTGGAGGAAAGTGGGAGAGGAGAACTTAGAAGAAAGAGGAAAGGGAGCCAGGAGTCAGCACAGAATCCTGGGCCTGGAGACAAACACTGGGAA